TTGATTTTTAAGAAAACAAGACAAATAGCAAAATCGGCTGCCGGCTAAATCGAAATTTTTCCGGCTGTTTGCTATCGCAACCGGCTAAATCTAGCCGAAAAACGGCTAACATGGCAACACTGATTATGTACTTACAGAATCAGGACATTTTTTTATTTTTCCAAAAGGCTATTTTATGTGTAGCACTTCATAAAAAATGGGTTGCTTATCTTATTGAGTCGCAGTGAAAATGTAAGCATTCTAGCACTTCATTAAACTGCAATAAAGTGAGTGACAAATTGACCATTAAGTTTGGTATGCGCGGAGAAGATATGTACTAAGGATAATCCCCCGAAGCAAAGTCCAACAGAACTGCCAACTTAAAAGCTAGTTAAATGTTTTACATAGAAGCGTAACACGAAGGGACAGTTAAGTAGGCACAGCACAGAGGCGACAAACTTGCAAATAGGCAACAACTAAATTATTCATTAATTCGACTGACACTTGCCACTTGCCATTTGCCGCAGCCGACAGTGTCAACGCAATGATAAGTGACAAGCCAAGATGGTGGTGATTGGAGGAAGTAGTGAGCGGGGGGAGAAAAGCGAAAATGACATGACACTAGCAGAGTGTTAAATTATTCACAAATGTATGCAGAGATAAAGCGGACTCATCGAATGCTGGCAGATAAAAAAAAAAATATATATATATATTTAATCGCAGAAGATTTCTATGCAAATGTGGTCACGCGTTCTATGTGCGTATTAGATAAATACATACATACTAGCAGTAGCTGTAAAGCAGCGGGAAGTTGGCGATATAAAATCTAAATGGCACACAAGAAATTCACAGCGGCTTAAATAGATGACTGGAAAATTAGATGACTTGCAATAAAATTTAGTATTGGCACAAACCCCATTTAAAAGCCAACATTGGCGTGAAATATTTGCACTAAAATACATACTTTGGGCAAAAAAAAATAGGCCTACATTTAGAAGGATTTTTCGCGATATAATAAAAATAAATCGCGCAAATTGTTGTTGTTAGTCGTAAATTTTCCCCCCGGGTACCAATTTAATAGCTTTAGTAGATGGAGACACATTTAATTTAAAGGGTGGAGTATTACATTGCGTTTTTGCCGCTGATCCTTAAAATATAGTTGTGGTAATTTTATTACAGCTGCCACCAGTTTGCTCGCGCTACTCCTCTGCTTTTGCCCTCCTTTTCCTTGGATCTCCTTGCTTTGCATTGCTAGACACAGTTTCGTAGTTGCGTAATTGAATTTTATGTGCGAGTTGACACTTAACTGTCGCATTTTGTAGGCCTTTCAAATCGGATGTAAATGTTGCCAACTGTATTTATTGGCGGCATTTGTGTAGATATGCATTTATATCGCATATAGCGGTTATGCCATTTGTGGATGGAGTGTTTGATTAGTCAATCAGCGCGGAAATTTGTCGAATGATGTGATTTTTTCGCTGAGCGTGATTTTATTTAATCTTTCTATGATATTTGCATGTCTGATAAGTTTATATTTGCCGATGAAAGTGCTGAAATATTTTGAGGAAAAAATTTTAAAAGACATAAAACCGACCATAAAAAAACGCAATAATTCAGCTTAAATAGTTTCTTAGTCAATTGAGGATAATAGCCACTAACAAATGGGTTTCTGTTTCTAAATAACATCGATGGTATTTTAACCGTTGTGTGCGATCATATAAGGTTCCAGACATTGCATTAATTATGTAAATATTTTCAACGTGTGTCGGGTACAACTTTAGAATGATTGCGTTTTTCTCTGAAAATAGTATTTAAAACACGAATTTTTCGCTTTTTCTAAACTAGTCATCCAAAAAAATCAACACTAAATTTTTCACGACTACTTTGTCTAAAATAAAAAAAAAAAAAATTGTCTTTGCGTGGTCTATGGCCCATTGAAATTGGTACGAAATATCGTACAAAGTTAGGGAAAGGAGTAGTTGTGTGGTGTTTTTGGTACATACACGGTTTTGCTTATTCGGTAAAAAAAATCGCATTTTCAGCTATTTCTCTATTTTTATCTACATAGTTGTAATAAAATGAAAAATAATGAAAATTGTGATATATCCAGCGGTTCAAATTAATTGGTCACAGAAATTAAAATTTGCATGGAGTAGTTGACATAAACTAGCAAATGCAAATCTATTTGTATGTTTATATTTGTTCAAAATTCGAAAAGGTGGGTCACGTAATATGGATGCGTTCACTAAGCTACTCATCTACGTGGTGGCTGCAACATTCCATCTAGTTTACACGCAGCCTTAGAACTGATTAAAAAATGCTCTGAAAAGAGTCTATCAACAATTCCACTAAAGTCCACCATCGCCAACTTTAACAAAAGAACGAAAGTCAACGTAGCTTAATCTCAACCGGAAATTTCGAAGATTTATTTATCGTAAGAGTGGAGGTATCTAGAGTAAACCCTGAATAAAAGGTTTAACTGAAACAGCGAAGTTCTTCGTAGAAAGAGAAATGGAGGCTGACAGTCAGGCACGATCAAGGCTTGTTGTGGACAGCTGAAAGTCTCTATTGATTGTTTGATAAAGCACGCATAATAGTCTGATTATGCATACTTCGCATAAACTTCAAACTGTAATTTCGTATGTACTCTGTAAGTATTTTGTATATATACCACTACCCAAAAATTAGCAGAACTTTTAAAAACTTTGCAATCTGTTGAGTTTAGATTTTGCTTCACATTTTCTTAAGCTACATTTTTATTGCGCTGGTGCGAAGTATGCATAATCAGATCTTAACAGGTTTTTGGTAGGTCTAAGACTTTTATACTTATTTCTGGCAACGATTATCGAGAGAGTGTCCTGTCCAGGACCGACATCTAATTTTACAAGAGCTCTAAGGCTGGATTGCACTTTTATATTCTCAGGACAATAGATGTACATACATATATTAGCGAGATACCACTTGAGAACGATTTTTGATTTTTTGTTTTTTGTTTATATAAAACTTTTTAGTGCGAAGTGCGGAAAAAGTAGCAATTTTGAAGAAAATCGATTCTCCTCATCCAGCTAATACATTTTATACATATTATATTCAACAATTTATATTGAGCTCGAGGCCGTTTTAAATGAAAATTTTTATTGTGGAAAAGCAACAATAATTCGAAAAAATGGTAGAAGTGATAGCTATTTCGGAAATCAACACATTTCCTCGTCACACTTCTTTCAGTAGGATTCGAACCGACGATCCCACTGACTCAGCCAGTTGTCGACCGGACAAAGCTAATAGTTAATGAAGATGCCTTCAGACTGAAGGCGAAATATCGACCAAAATAAAACTAAAAAGTAAATAAAACAGAAAAATATTTAATGTTTTATTTAACATACGGCCTATAGCTCAAAAATAATTATTATGTTATAAAAAATATCACCAAGTAAAATTTTTTATTCTGGTGCACAGTTTTATAGCTTATTAAATTTTAGTACAATAAAGCGCGCTGCAACTGGCTAAGTCTTCGCGTTGATTTTTAAGCTAAATAGCAAATAAATGCGTTATCTTTGTCTTGTGTAGTTTATATTTATGTGATTAACTTTTATATTCTCAGGACAATAGATGTATATACATAGGTCGCGTTTATTCGGTCAACCAAGTTTATAAAAAAAAAAAACGATTTGCCTGCTTTTACAGAGAATTTTTTTAAGAAATATTTCACAATACTCGCGACAAATTAGTTTTTTTAACTATTCGTAAAATGTTTGGTTAAGTAAATCTATAGCTAAAACACATTTTGGAAAATTTTTTATATTCCCGTACAGTTTTTGGTAGACAAAAAAAAAAGGGGGTAAGTGGCAACCATGTTTCTAAGTTAAGTTTCTAAGTTCAAGTAAGAGAATCCTGCTGCCATATCGATTTTTACTTATTTTTAATAAAATTTGTCCAATGTATGTGCAATTCATATGGCAATCGCAGCGTAAACTTTGAAATAAACACAGACGATAAAATAAAAACAATCACAATTTAATGCGTGTAAATACATTTATTTCAATTGTAATTTTTAGTCAATTTTACCCCAAACAAATTAAACGTTTACAATTTTTCGTGTAAGTCACGTATATAAGGAAACAAAAATTTCCATATCCACTTTCCCATTGAGAATTCACAATAGAGCAGTCTTTTCACTTAACAACACTATCCTTCAGGTCGCGTATTTTTTAACCGACCTGGCTGAACTCGGATAAATAGCCGAGTTTGTGTTGTTGCTTTGCGTGTATCTTGTCATATAAGTGAGTGTTTTTTTTTGTAGCTCGATTGCAAAAGAATGCACCTAATGTAAGTGCTTTGCCATAACTTTCCTACACCCTACTGTTTGCTTTTTATATTATTAATTTTTTGTATGATTTGACAATCCATATACACGTATGTAAGTACATTTGTGCATACCTACACGACTTTGGTTTAATGTTCTCCTTTGAGTGATCGCTTTTACGTACATAATGTACATATAAATACATCGTTACAAATTTACACACTTTGATATAGATTGAACTTTTTGCATTACTTGATCTTTATTTTCGCAGCCTTGAAAGTTATTTTTATACGTGTACATATTTACACGCGTATATACATATATCTCTCTGGCACTTCTTTAACTAGCATTAAATATTTGCTCTCGCTCTCAGACTTGTTTTTTATATTTGCAATATATATACATCTATATGCAAATCTGTGCATAAAGCGAACGTATGTAACAAAATCTAGGTCAGTGATCACATAGCGCGATCATATGTTGAGGTAGGTCAGGTATTTTAGTTTAACTTACACTTAGAAAAATAGGATTAGTGATATAAGCTACTGAAAAATTATTTTTAGCTGTAGTTAGTATAGGTACACGGTTCCATTTGGCAAAACCGAGGTTCGAACTGCGCACCTGTAACCACCCAACTATTCACTGAATGTTATACCTACACACATAGATATCAATTTGGAATTTTTATTTAACTTCTATTTCAATTTTTCTTTTCCAGGTTATTTAACTGGTCCTGCAGCCGCAAGCAAAGGAAAACACCATAGAAATAAAAAATGCAATTCAAATTAGTTAAAATAATATAAATGAAAGGAAATGTTATACCCAAGGAGTAACGAAATTGTCTAAGTAAAATATCTTTAGTACCAACAACAACAATAAAATGTTTCTTAGCTGTAAATATGCATGGTAACTATAACTTAAAAACTAGTTTGTTAAACAAAACAAAAACGAAATTATTTAATATTATTTTGTGCAAAAGGAATTATATACATATATAAGAATGATATAAATAAATTAAACAAAAAAAAAAAAAATACAACAAGAAAAAATTTTAATCCTTAAAAAAAAGCTTAACACGTAACTTAATTTAATTAGAGGAAATTACATTACTGCAATAAAAATAATATTTTTCTTGTATTTTCGTTTATATTTTTCTTAGAAATATTAATAATAAAAAAATAATAAAGCTTAGCTTGAAATGTTGACAAGGCGTGTAGATTTGTTTAATTTGATAAAATTGGTTTGTTTCATGCTTAAAATTAATAAATTTACAAAAGAATAATATTTATACAAGTGTAGACAAAAAATATATGTGTATTCATATGTTTACATACATACATACATATGTACATATGTATGTTAATTAATAAATATTTACTTACCTATGTATCAATGATAATGATGTAATAAGTTTAGATGTTAAACAACAACAAAAAAAATGGTTAATTGTCTTTATACAAACATACATATTATTTGCTCTTAAGTAGTACAAATGTTAAATGAATATTTCAAAGAAAGAAAATAATAAATAAATGTTTAATACATACAGATATAATATGTAAGTTGGTACATATGAATTTTGGTGCATATATGCATGTGTAGATACTATACTTATGTAAAAACAACCGTAAAATGTTAATATGAAGACATCAAAAAAAGAAAGGATGCCAGGAAATTGGTGGCTGAATTTTAAGTTTGGTAAAGGAAGTTGCATATCTTTAATTTTGTAGCATATCATCCAAACCGCCAAAATGCTGCGTTCATATGACTTTTTGCCTTTACTTTAGTCATGCTTTAATTTCATTTACAGTACACTCCGGGTAACTTGATTAGTTTTTGTGGCAAACGGTCATTTTTCATAATTACAGCAATAAATTTTTTGTGCTTGGTATTTGATAAAGAAAAAGAACTTCGAGCCGAACTGCCGGTGTGTTTTGTTTTTGTAAAAAGCGATTTTATGTTCCGTTTTTAGCTGTTTTCGTACAACCAGATTTAAGCTAATTATGTAAAAAATTAACAAAAATAAAGAAACAGTAAGTTCTCTTAAAATATATAACCGACATTTTTTCGAAAAGTTTTTTGTTAGAGAAAAATACATGCCTGTCATAACTTTAATTAATTTTTTTTTGTTTTATTAAAAATGGAATTTAAAAAAAAAAAACTTTCAAAATGGTGGCTGTATTTAGACTAGAAAAAACATGTAAATGGAAGGCATTTAAGTTTAATGCATCAATTTCATTGCCCTTCCTGAGAAAACGTTGTTGTTTTTGTGAGTATTCTTGGTGCGGTGAGTGAACTATTTACCATTTAAAGGGGATAACGCAATAAAGAGAGACGCACAAGGCTGTTTAAAATTTGCTGCAAGCTTTTAACCATTCCGCATACAAACTACGAAATTCAATCATTTGACGCTTTCATTAGTGTTATTGAGCTTTGTACCACGATTTGTTTGGTTATGGGTACTAAGTATTTCGGAGATCCCCACAATTGAACTTAAAATATAATTTGGCAATATTTTTGAAAAATAGCCACTAAGTGGCATTTTTTCCCTTAATACAAATATTGAGAAAAATACTGCATCCAAACTTTTTCAATAAAACTGCAATTTAAAAAATGACCGCTTTAGACCCATCGCGCAGTGGTGGTTCAAAGCTGGAATTGGAAGCTTACTGGAATCTTAATTTTTAAATCAATTTGATTATTTTTTTTTTTTATGAAAGCATATAAAATTTGCGAGATACCACTTGAGAACGATTTTTGATTTTTTGTTTTTTGTTTATATAAAACTTTTTAGTGTAAAGTGCAGAAAAAGTAGCAACTTTGAAGAAAATCGATTCTCCTCAACCAGCTAATAAATGCTATATAATAAAAACTAGTTGAAAACAATTTTAGGATTCCGTCAAAACGAAAAAAAAACTTTTCAAGAAAAATTTAAAATGTTATAAAAAATTTCACCAAAGTAAAATTTTTTATTCTGGTGCACAGTTTTATAGCTTATTAAATTTTAGTACTATAAAGCGCGCTGCAACTGGCTAAGACTTTGCGTTGATTTTTAAGTTTTTTTACGCAAAGATTTCGTACACATCTGTGTAGTTTATATTTATCTGATTAACTTGCAATTTATTATACTATAATTTAATATCGTATGAAACTGCATACCAAAAAGTTTTAGAAAATCTAAAAAAAAATTATAAGTTTGGTAAAAACTTTTTTTATAACATTCCAAATTTTCACATGAACATTTTTTTCGTTTTTGGGAAACTCTACAATTGCTTTCAACTAGTTTTAATATGTAAATAATTATTAACTGGAACAGGAGAATCGATTTTCTTTAAAACTTCTACTTTTTCTGCATTTTGCAAAATAAAGTTTTATAAAAACAAAAAAAAAAAAAATAGAAATCAAAAATTGGGCTATGGTCTCGCGCTAATTTTATAAGCATTCATAAAAATGGTCGCTTTTTAAATCGTGGTTTTCTTGAAAAAATTGTATCCATTTTTTCTAGTTATTTGTACTAAAGAAAAAATTTCACTTTTTTAGCTATAAAAACTATTTATGCCATGTGCATTGGTCGTAAATTTTTTTAATATTTTTTGCAAAAAAATTGTTAAACGTATGCCAATCAATAGAAAAAATTATGTTTTTTAAATAATCTACTCGTTTGTCATATCTAGCTAATTGAAATTGACCTACGTGGAATCTTTTGAACACCTCGATAGCCCATTGGATCTCAAAGTAAATGTTATTTTCGCTAGTTTTTAGCGTCCACTTCTACCCAGCGTAAACACCAGTAAATTGTCGTTGTCTTAAAAAAAAAATTAATTTTACAGCTTTTCGGTGTAGCTATTGGAAATGCGGGTCAGCGTCGCTTCATTAAAAGTAAGAAGGTATGTAAAGTCCTTTACCAGCCAACTAAAAGCGGTCAAGTCATGGACAAGTCATCTGCAATCGATCCACTCCGGCATACTGCCTGTGAAGCACAGTGACTTTTTTGTTTAATATTCACAATGTTTTCAAATTTTTGTTTGTTATTTTTTTATAATATGCAGCACATATAAGCAAAAACAATATATGAAAAAAAGGTTCAAAAATTATACAAATTAAAAATTAAACAAATAACACTCATCAAAATTTCTAATTGTTTTATAGCCTATTAAATTTTTATGTAATTCGCGTAGATTTGTATTAATTAGGCAGGTTCTGCAATTCAGTTCCGCATGAAATTCAACAAAACTCACCTGTAATCCGACACTCTCGGTGTTCTGAGTTTCACGTCACGAACTTTGTTTCCACTTTCTTTCGGATTCCAGAACCTGAATATAAAACTCGGACAGTGGAACACAAACCCCAAATTACGGATTTAAAGTGAGTTTTGTAGAAATTCACTCGGACGTGAATTGCAGAACATGCCTGAATATCTTTTTTTTTTATGCCAACGTTTAAGGTTTTATGCATATGAAAAAATCACTCTATAAAAACTCACTTTTTCCTATTTTCTGTCATTCATATTTATATGAAAAAATTATCAAAAGACCGAGAGCAAACTATAAAAAATCCAGGCGAATTTTCGTTCGCTTCAAACTCGCACTTTTTCAACAGTTCACGTTCAAAAGTTCGAAAAATTTAATAAAACTTTATTTTTTTTTCTTTTTAATTTTGATTATATGGTTTTGATCATAGACATATTTAACAAAAAGGTTTAAAGTTATCAGCTTGTGAACGACAGTTTGAGTCATGTATTTGATTCCGTAATAACTATGTGTTTGCGCCGCACAGTGGGCTGAAACGAGACCCTGTGGCCAAAATAAAATATCTTCTCTTGGGATTAACCTTTTTGGGTGATTTTTTATTTTTAATTAAAGGTAAACATGTACATATGTATATTTCAATGGAAAATAAGGTAAAATAATTGCAACCAGATATCCAAGGTCACTTGTAGGTCAAACAAGAATGAGCAAAATTTTATAGAAAAATTGATACATATTAATTTTTAATCTTAACCCTTTCCGGTCAAATCCGTCCCTGATGAATATAAAAATTTTTCCTCTTAATTACAAGGTTCATAGAGCCTCATAATACCAAAAGTAAAAAAATAAACATTAAAAGTTGTTTTGGGTAGCTATTAGGGCTACCTGAAATTTGTGCAATATATTGTACAAAAGTCCGCAAAGGAGTAAAAGTACTCAAGAAAACTCAATAAATATTTCACTAAGTTTTACAGAATAAAACTTTTATTTCATTGAGAATGAACTTATGTATGTACAGGATAATTGATTTCACTGCAGATATGTTGGAATGAATATTTTATATCTTTTTAAGTATCTTTAGTTAAGATTTGCATTAAAATATTTTAAATTTTCTCCATGAGAAGAGAATTATATAAAGAAATTTTGAAAAATTTCAGATACAATTACAATATAAAAGACAAATGACCCGTTGTAATAAACCATCCCGGTTTTTCTGCCTTCAGTAGATCAAGAAATCAAAATCCTACCCTTTACTGCAACAAAAGCGCACAAGCTCTTCAAAAACCACGGCAAAAACCACCCTAATTGCCTGTTCATCCGCAACCTTAGCGGACGTTTGTACAATATATTGAACAAAACACTTACAACCTTTCAGTGTAAATGTACAATATATTGTACATTTTTTTCACCACTCGGAAAGAAATATTTTAAATCATGATAATTTAATTTTAGCATTTTTATATGATGAAATGCTTCTTATATTTCCATACTATGTGCTTTTGTTAGCGATTTTACTTGAC